AAATTTTCTCACTTTTGTCATTTTCACTCTGATTTGAGATACACAATCGACCCCCAGAACAGAACAGAGCAAGAGCAGCCATAGAATATTAATTAGTTACAGATGGGAATATGTACTATTCTCTCAGATCTAGTTTTCACTCGCTCTGCACTCGATATCGTAAGCAGCCAGTACCGATGGGAATGTCCCGATTGACCACGGTACGATTGGACACAACCAACCGATGAAAAGAATTATCTAGTGAATTACTAGGTCAGACCAATCATTACAATCTGTGTCCAATCGTATCGTGGTCAATCGGGTCCCACTTCTTTCCGATGCTCGAGTAGAGTTAGTTAGAGTTAGTAAGAGTAGTATAGCGGATAACGTGAGCATCAGGAAGTTGATTTTCAAAAAATGTTAGTTATTAATAAGTTTAATCTCATATAGTATGTTTATACCGAACGTTTAATACGCGTACCAATTAATAATTTTATGTCGAATTATTTTGATTTCGGCAATGTATATAAACAACTTCATATTGAAGTAGTGCAATATTGATTAGAAACACGTATCGTATTAATTTAATATATTGCATCGTCGAAATTAAAATAATTGGATATAAATTTACTAATTGATACGCGTATTAAACGTTCGGTATAAACATACTATATGAGATTAAACTTATTATTAATAATTAACATTTTTTGAAAATCAACTACCTGATACTCACGTTATCCGCTATGCTACTCTAGCTAACTCTAAGGGCCGTGGCACACAGAAAAACTTAAGCATTGAGATGTAAGAAGTAACCAAATTGACCAATCACAGTCGTTGATTCTTGGACCGTAAGAAGAATCAATGACTGTGATTGGTCAATTTGCTTACTGCTTACGTTTTACTGCTTAAGTTTTTCTATATGCCACTAGCTTTATTCGAACATCGGAAAGCAGAACTGTCTGAAATACTAAATTGTCTTGAACTATGAAGATACTAGATGGTTGTGCCTATTACATTTTTCGACCCTAGTGGAACTAACTCGTACTCGATTTAACGTAAACACCCAATATGTTCCGTATGTATCATGTTACTAGATTTTCACTTTGCTGCCAGTACATTTCATGGCTAACAAGTTCACGTGAAAAGTTTCACGTTTCTACGCTTCACCGAGTTCAGTGATCACGAGAAACTTTTCACTTTTTACGTTTCCGCCCTAGGGGAAAAGTTACATGATCGTTGTCTATAGATCGAATGTCTATAGACATCTGTGACCAGGATTGAGTAAGTAAAATACTTGATGTAAATTACATTGTTATAGGCCGGTATTCATAGTCGAATCTTATTTCAAAACCGTCTTAAGTAATGTCTAAAGGGACATTGGAAGTAAATAGCAAGAAGTAGGAAGCAAGAGTAAGAAATTGACCAACCACAGTCGAATGTGAGAAGAATAATCAACTATGATTGGTCAATTTTTTATTCTTACTTCCTACTTCTTACTGCTTACTTCCAATGTAGACGTCCCTTTAGGATGCGAATACATTTGTATGTACTTGACTGGAAAAAAAACTCCGGTTGGGAAACTATTCTTTTAAATCGTTTGTATTTTGTATGAAGAGTTTTGAAGTGCAACTGAAAAGATTTGTGAGTCATTCTATTACTTGTAATTAATTGTTCTTTTTTGGATCATGTATTTAGCCGAAAATAATGATCGGAGGTAAATTAAAGAAAGGTTCGGTATGGTATCGTTTGTATTTAGTATGAAGAATTATGAAGTATCATTAAAAAGATTTGAGTCATGATAATTTTAATTAAATATTAAAAAATCATGTATTTGGCCGAAATATCGATCTCAAGCGCTGTTGTGGAAGTACCGTCAGGCACGATTGGTGTACTATCTAGTATTTCAATACTACTGGTTCTTTTTCGGGTAATTATGTACAATAAGGTCTTTTTCGAATTTTGATATTTTTTTTGCAGCTCTTTTGGTAAAAATATTTATTTTGACTCCAACATTGACAATCAATCGGTGGAGTCCGAAAAATATGCAATATGCAATATATAGCGTGAGCCAAAAGTCTGGAAACATCAAAATATATCATAAACGATGCATTTTAGAAAAAAATGTTTTGAATAAAAGTTTTAAGGCTTAAAAATCGCATTCAACGACAGTAGTTATTTGAGCTAGGATGGCGTCACCAAGGTCAGGACAAGGTCAACTTTGCTTTTTTAAATAGAAATATGTATTTTTTATTACAGCATTTTATTCAATGTAAAGAGACAAATAATTTTTGCTTGAAAAAATTGTTTATATGACTTCTATTTTCTAAGATATTTACGTAAATATCTACAAAATTATTGGTTTCAATAATTTTTTATTTGAATTCTGTCAACTTTACCGAAAAATATCAAGAGATAAAAATTGTTTATTTTGTTTTCATAGAGCTCTGAGAATTTTTTCAGAATTTTGTGTTAACTTTTTAATACTTCAAGAAAATGCAAGAAAAATGCAGTACTAAAAAGTTAATATAAAATTCTGAAAAAATTCTCAAAGCTCTATGAAAACAAAATAAGCAATTTTTATTTCTTGATATTTTTCGGTAAAGTTGATAGAATTCAAATAAAAAATTATTGAAACCAATAATTTTGTAGATATTTACGTAAATATCTTAGAAAATAGAGGTCGTATAAAAAATTTGTTCAAGCAAAAGTTATTTGCTTTCTTACGTAGAATAAAATGCCGTAATAAAAAAATATATGTTTCTATTTAAAAAAGCAAAGTTCACCTTGTTCTGACCTTGGCAACGCCATCCTATGTCAAATAACTAATATCGTTGAATGCGTTTTTTTTAAGCCTTACAACTTTTGTCTAAAACATTTTTTTCTAAAATACATCGTTTATGACATATTTGGGTGTATCCAGACTTTTGGCCCACCCTGTATATTAACTTTTTTTTATTTTTTTTTCACTTGTCAAACGTTGCTGCTTTCCCACAATTTAAACAAGTTACTGATCTTTTAATCACATTATGTAATTGCAATATCAAACGACTAGCGGGGGACTGCGCCTCCCGCAACCCTCCTCAAAACTAACTGAACCCAACCTATCGTCACATTAACCGTCATTGTTTATTAAAGTGTTTAACTTTTTTCTTAATATTTTTTTAATAAACAATGACTAACGGCTAATGTGACGATAGGTTGGATTAGGTTAGTTTTGAGGAGGGTGCGGGAAACGCAGCCCCCCGCTAGTCGTTCGATATTGCAGTTACATAATGTGATTAAAAGATCAGTAACTTGTTTAAATTGTGGGAAAGCAGCAACGTTTGACAAGTAAAAAAAAATTAGAAAAAAAGTTAAAATAATATATAACTTGCATATTTTTCGGACTCCACCGATTGATTGTCAATGTTGGAGTCAAAATAAATATTTTTATCAAAAGAGCTGCAAAAAAATATCAAAATTCGAAAAAGACCTTATTGTACATAATTACTCGAAAGAGAACCAGGAGTATTGAAATACTAGATAGTACACCGATCGTGCCTGACGGTACTTCCACAACAGCGCTTGAGATCGATATCTCGGCCAAATACATGTGTTACGTCCACGATAGATAACTATATAGGGAAATTTGAAAGTAGTGAAATCAGTGACTTACGTGGACGGTCAACAGAGTGATGGCTCCGCTTTTGGGCCACTCTGCTTTTCACCGAGTTTACCCTGGGTTTCGGGAGCCTGGCGAAACGATTGATGAATCTGGCGGAAAATCAGCGGTGCTTGTTCTCCTGGCTTAGCCTCGGAAGTTCCGATACCACGCGGGTTGATGCGGCCCGTGATTCAGAATTTGATTTCGCAATGTTTGAAATATGAAGGGTAGGCAAAAGTAATTGCAACACAGTCGGATTTTACGACTAAGTATAATATGCTGAATAAGTACATGAAGCTACCAGAGACTAACTATGAGAAGAAAATAATTATATATATTGCCTTCTCTACAAATGCGCGCGCTTTTATACGTCGCTTTGTCGCTGAGAGTCGTTCTCCGATTGGTCCATGGAGTTATGGCGAGGGAAGAGATTCATTCCTTTGCATGATGTCACCGCGTCGGTGTCCTGAGTGGTGTTTAGGATTCAGCTTTCATGCTCCTGTTTATGTTGGCTTATCGCACTGAGCGATAGCGGTTTCTTTGGGTCGATCCGAGATCCGTCGATTTCGAGACTCTCCAGCAGCACGCAGCATTCGGCATTTTAATTATAATGTTTTAACGCTCGCGAATATGCATATGCGCACGTACTTACATCTAGTAACATAGGGATATAATATCTAGTGATGTCTGAAATCAGACAAGTCGGCCTCCCGGTCTATAATAATATATTGTTAATGTTCTAAAATAGATCCGGACGTTACACATGATTATTTATTATTTAATTAAAATTATCTGGGTGACTCGCAAACCTCTTTAATGATACTTCATAACTCTTCATACAAAATACAAATGATACCATACCGAACCTTTGTTTAATTTACTTCCGGTCATTATTTCCGGCTAAATACATAGTAAAAAAAAACAATTAATTACAAGTAATAGAATGACTCACAAATCTTTTCAATTGCACTTCAAAACTCTTCATACGAAATACAAACGATTTAAAAGAATAGTTTTCCAACCGGAGTTTTTTTCCGGTTAAGTACATACGAATTGCGAATACGGTAATTGGTTCATAATATCTTAAGACAGTACTTAAAATGATTTTGAATATAAGACCGGACTATGAATACCGGCTTTATGCAGGATTTACACCGTATCCGATGTCCGATGTACGACTTCCGATATCCAATAAGAGAACAGTTTTCCAATGGAGAATTAAATTTTCTATTGAAAAGTTCTTCTCCTATTGGATATCGGACATCGTACATTGGACATCGACGCGGTGTGAATCCTGCATTAGCACATAAAATAGTAGGTATTTTACGTCCTTAATGTTTTACTACTAAAAAACCCTAGATTTGTCAAATATCCCAACCCTTTCTGTGACTAAATCAGAGTTAGTAATCTAGTAGTATATAAAAGTCTGTAGTTATTGCAACTTTGTGTACCAGTTTAGGAAATTCTACAAAAAAGAATTAATGTATTAATAAGTAGAGGCACTTAGTAAAAATAAAATTTTATAGAGATGCTCTTAAAATATGTAAATCCGACATTTATCTACGGGAGATATTTACAGGTATAGTTATAACTCAATTCTTTTAAAAGTTGAAGGAATCTGCAATAGTATTTAGCAGATATATGTAGTTTAAGCTCTTCATCTCAGATTTTAATGAAATTATATATATATTTTTTTATATAAAAGAAAGGTTCACAAGTTAAAATTGTTATTTAGTAGAAAAAAATTTTTGAGTGGAATAGTAATAACATAAGAGGTTAGAAAATGTACACCTGTAAGCTAATAACGTAATAAATAGGATATCTACCCTTTTATTAGTCTATAATATTCAAGCTATCTTGTATATATGAGTGTGGAAAATTGGAAATTTTTGATACTATGCTATTATAGATTTTGTTTTACACTTGGATTATTGGTAGGTATGGAATGTAGTTTGGTTTACATAGGTACATGTTTTCTATTGCTGAACTAGTGTACACTTTCAGAACTTAAAAGAGATATATAGATAAAACGTAATGGAAGAAAGATGAGAGAGAACTAATGCAGACGGTTCAGCAATAGAAAACAGATCTATAGAAAGTTGATAGCTCTTGTGATACCTTATGTAAATATTTAAATTATGAACACAATTATATATTTATATATATATTTATCATTGTTAAAATATAATTTATTCTGTTTTAAAACAAATAGTCTTAAGCATAGATAAATTTGAGTATAATTTACTAGAATTTTTTATAATTTCCAAATTTAACCCGTAACAAGTATCATATCTTTTTAGTCAAGCTATAAGTACCATGAGGTCCAGCGGATCCCAATAAATTTTTGCCATTTTTAACATGATAATAAAAGATAGAAAGAAAAACGCTTTATAGTTCGAAAATAATACTTTATGAATATTATATTACAACTAGACATATATAATAACAGTTTCAGTTTTTCAGTAATCTAAAAGAAAATGTTAACTGATTATAAAATGAACACAATGTGGACAGTGTTGAAATAAAATACACTAAAAGATAAATAATTGGTAAAAGAAAAAAATTTGTTTTAATCTAAGTTTACAAATTATAGATTATATGAAAAATATAAACTATTGTTAAATACTAAAATCTTAGAGGGTTTTTGCAATTGTTATAGATAGTGCTTGCATATTTGGTACATACTGGTTTGTTGCACCTAACATATACTTCTTTGGACTTCATATCTTTACTTCTAGGATATTTATCTTACTCTGGATGGCAAAATAATTTTAGATCTTTCAGTTTCTTCACTTTTTAAAATAGATGAAATTATTAAACGCAATGGCTTATGAATATATTGAATTGTAAGATGTCTCTTAAATTTAGGTTCTACTAACTGAAAGGCAAGAGCTTTTACTCTTTTGTGTGAAGAATGAGTTATATTGAGTTGAAGATTAAGAAATTTATTTTCATAAAAGTAACGTTAACAGTACAGTGGGGTCACTGTGACCCTAGACGGAAAACAAATGCATATAATTCACAGCTACTTACAAATAACTCGATGATCTTTTCTTCTATCACACTGAAAACTATTACTCGAAAAGTACTGAAGATATTAGCGCCATACAGTGGATAGTTCAAGAATTATCATAAAAATAAAATTAATTGGAATCTCTGGAACCCCATTATACCTGTTACGGGTTAATCATTATATGTAAAATTAAGAAATATGCAAGTAATAATCTCTTGTTATAATCTAGAGGCATATATAACATTTGATATGCATAGGATTTTAATGTTACAAATGTAAAATATATTGAATATGAAAATTTATTTCAGAATAATCTACCAGCATTGCTCACTGCTATTAATTATTCCAATGACTTTATACAAATCAGATGTATTAAAAAGCATTGGAATCCAAAATTTAAGAAAGAAAGAAGAGAGAAAGTTATTAAAATAAAACTTCCATCCTTTGAGAATACAAATGAGGATCCCACTAAATTAAACAAAGAACAAGTACGATCACGTATGAAAGAATATGGTTTTGTCCCACAAAAACAATGGTCAGAAAGACCAGCATTTATGAGTTGTACTCCTATGATTTTTGAATCTTATGTTGCTCCTGAAGGAGATGGAAAATATTCTGCTATTACTAAAGAGGTATTTACATGCATATACGTTTTTGTTTAGCTTAGACTAATATTTGTATGTAGTATCTTGCCAGCTTTTTGTATAAAATATAAGGTTCATGGATTTTTTTTCATAAAATTTTACAAAAAATAATGCTATATCATCTTTAATTTTAATATTATAAATCTATCATAGTAAATGTGTCTTTTATTCATTATAATTAAAATATAGGGAGCAAAACAAAAATTAGCATTTTTGGAGAAGAAGAGTAAATCCTTAATGGCCATCAGAAAAATTAAATCATTTGATGACACATTTAAGACCTCTTATTTTACAGAGGAAGCCACTGACATTTATAAAAACGCGCACGATGCTTTAGCTGCGTAAGTAAGAAAATAAAAAATATAAGTTGTTTTCTAAAATTTATATATGCAAGATATGAGTTAAAAAAAAAGAATAACAAAATTGGTAATAGCGTATATTTACTTTGTTTTTAATATTCATGTAATATTATTAAATAAAATATTTTTCTTGATTTCAGCAAAGATGAAGAAAAATTATTACAATATGTTACTGAAACTGCATATCCTGTAAGTTTAAAATATAGATTTTATAACTCGAATATATAAATTTATATTATATTTATTGTCTTAATAATAATATATATTGTTGTAACATTGCTATTTTTAGAAAATTGTACACAATATGATGAACAAAACTTTACATTGGAAATTCTTAGAATCATTAGAACTTCCCCGTGTCGTGCACGCAAGAACTACAGATATAATAACGAAGGAAAACGTTTTTGCACAAATTACTGTTCGTTTTCACACGCAACAGGTTTGATATTTTATCTGAAAATAAATTTTTTTTTTATAAGGATAAGATAACTTTTAAAAGTTTTACCTTCCTATTTCTATTTTTTGCAGATTTTAGCTATTTACAATAGATTTGGTCGATTAATGCAAGGAAGTGAAATTTTGAGAAAAGACGTTTTAGAATATATAGTATTTGAAAAACATTTAGCTAACGAATATGGTACTTGGCGAATTCATGGTAAGATTATACCATCCTGGATGACTCCAACAGATATATCAGAAGGTACATACATTCTGCCAAAAAAGAAACATGATCCTGTGCTCACTAAGCCACCTCCTATCGAAGCTACATTAATTGAAAATACATCGAAAGATGCGATAAGTACACAATCTGTAAGCGTATAAATATATATATATATATATATATATATATATATATA